TTATTTGATCTTCAAAAATATGTAAAACAAAACTCTAGGTATGCGCCTACATTATGGAAAAAATTGTTGTTTTTTAATTTCTACCTGAAATAACTATTTCTTTTCAGCTACGTTACTAGAAAGAAACTGAGAAGTACGACGTACGACTCATCAAAGCATTATATATAGTCATAAAATGTATTTGTGATACTCTGCTATCCAAAGTGAGGGAACAGTTTGATTCAGCTCATATGAAGTTTATGCGCTTTTTAACAAAATTTGAAGAAAAATTCAAGAGATTGATTATTAAAAAAATTCTGAATTGGCGTAACAAATATGATGGAAGAAGAAACTAACACAACCCGTCGTAGAGCTGTATAACACATCACTGAATAAAACGTGTAGAATGACTTCCTGATCAGGTGATGAATATTCAATGGAGATGAACTGTATTTCAAGTAGAAATCCTATACGTCGTTCGTCATATTCAATCGTTCTCGATGAGTTTTTGCGAAAACACTTCAACTCCTTGTATCCCAAGAACTGAACACTTCACGATCCATGTCCATACAAAATATAAATATAAAAATCTATATCACTATCAGAGTTCATGCCTCCAAAATCATACCCGAAAAGAAAATTAGTGGGCCACTATAGTTTCTGAGTGAAATTTTCTATGAGATAAAGTTTCAATTTGGCATTAGCGCATTTATCGCTGAGGAACTTCGTAGATATGGAGGTAGTCCAAGAAGTGTAAATTCGAAATGTACAGTCCTTTCTACGTAACCAGTAGTTAGGAAACGCGTCAGTTCGTTTGACGACGGGATTATGCGGGGCGAACGAACGTATTACGTGAAATTTTTTTTCTAATTTTGCTAAAAATTTTCGCTCGAACAGATAATATAATGACCATCATTTCTACATGAATTCTACCGATTATGTACAAAAATTGAGTATAGGCAAGTCGACTCCGCCCGTCACTTCGAAGTATCCGTCATAAAATAATATGGTCGCAAATTAGTGACCAAATTCACGAAAAAGACTCGTTCGATACTTCCATCAGTGGAAAATGGCTGATTCAAGTTCAGTTTTTCCAACTGATATTGAGAAAGCAGCTTGAAATGCATTATTCTTTTCGTCCAACCACATGTTCAATAACGTAACTGGTGCTGTAGTGAATAATATTTCATCACCAGTTAAACCAGTTATGTTATATTTCACTTTACACCACAGGTTATACGAAAAGTGAGAAGTTTCAATATTTCCGTAGTTTTGAAAAGTTCCACATCACATGTCAAATTAAATAAAAAAGAATTTCGAGCCAAACTCAATATTTCCAAGGGATATCCTGAAACAGGTTGATTTTCATTCTCAATTTCCACATTTATAATAGACAATTTCTCGAATGGAACATCCTATCAACTATTGAATTCTCGAAATCTTCATGGAAAGCTGAATTCAGGGTGTTCCATTGAAAAAAAAAACACAAAGCTAATAGCCTACCCGAAAAAACGAATGACACTGTATATAAAACAACTACACAAAATAAAAGTTTGGGTGGTTTCAAACAACTTTTTCATTTAACATTCCTCGATATTCCTATAAAAACAACATAATGACCTCTTTATACTGAACTTTCCTTGAATAAAGTACCATTCCTATTTCACATTCTTGGGGGAATTTAGGAAGAAAATTGTTTGAAATGATGACTTAATAAAAACAAATTATCATAGGGATTTCCTTTCGTGCGCTTCAAGCGTTAAAAAATATGTTCCATCAATAACTAATCCAAGTGCTTCGTAAATTTTTTTATTTTATAAGGATGCTTGCCAAAAATTCGACGGATGACGTCACAATGTGTCCATGATTATTGCAGACAAAAAGGTTCCTGCATGATCCGCCATTTTGAAAACAAATGTCATTTGAAAGGTATTTTTTCGCTCTATCGACTTACGTAAAATTATTCATACAGAGTGCCATTTGAATTTCAGTAAAATTTTGGGGCAAATCCTCTGTACTTGTACAGTGTGCAACATATGGAAATTTTTTTGATGAATTGCACAACCAAAATACAGATAGTGCCAAAGGTTGGTGCATGTTCGGTAATTATTTAAGGTGCACTTAGAATCGTTGCAAGTCAAACAGCATACAGGGTAGGTCAAAAAATATAAAAAATGCTCAGGAGTAAAGTACTCTTATTTCAGGAAATTCAGCAAACTGTTATGGAAAAAAGTTCTTTACAATTGAATGTTTTTCCTGAATACCAAAACATGGCCTCCTAAGACATATTTTAGTGTTTCGATTTGTTCCATTAATAACTTCCCAATTTGTATTTTTTTTATATTCACCCTAAACACTTTCATAATTTGATCATAACAAAATCAGTTGATCATACTTTTGTTCAAATTAATGCACTTTTGTGCAATCAACTTGGATTTTATTTTTTTAGGGAATCACAAACTTGATGTTTGTTGCAACGATATACAGCTTAATTTTGAGATTTCGCAAACCATATTTTCAACAAGGTAAAACATCATTAGATAAGGAGTATGTCACCAAACTGCCTCAATATTTACTGTCAACCCTCATTTGTTCTGTTTCTTGGGTGTCCGTGATTTTTCAAAAGATATCATGGTTGTTGATCAATTTGTTCAGCTTTTTCATAAACATTTCAAATACAAAATATTCACATTAAATGAAGGTTTTTGAATATGCATATTATCATTAATGATGTTTTACCTTGTTGAAAATAGGGTTCGCAAAATTTCAAAATTGAGCTGAATATCGTTGCAACAAACATGAAGTTTGTGATTTCCTAAAAAAATTGAAATCCAAGTTGAATGCAAAAATATGCTTGAATTTGAAAAAAAAAATGGGAATTTATTAACGAAAGGATTTGAAGAACTGAAGAATGTCTTAGGAAGCCATGTTTTGGTATTGAGGTATGAATTTTAATTGTGAACAACTTTTCTCAATAACATTCTGCTGAATTTTTTGAAATACGGGTACTTTACTCCTGAGCACTTTTTATATCTTTTTACCTACCCTGTATGCTGTTTGACTTGCAACTATTCTGAGTGCACCTGAAATGATGATCGAACATGCACCAACTCTTGGCACTATCTGTATTTTGGTTGTGCAATTCATTAAGAAGATTCCCATATGTTGCACACTTAAATGACCACACTGTATATTGAAATTATGCTCATATTATTCTTTTGTAGAAGCGAGGAGGGAAAATCCCAAATAATCAAGTAAAATGTATGTAACACCTCCTCGATCAACCAACAGGCGGTATTTCGAGCCGTCATTGCTTGAGATTTGACATTTCATGGAAGATGAATGAAGTCATTATGATATCCGAAACGCAAATGAAATTGATCACATACAAAGTACCTCATTGATCACATACAAAGTACCCCATTGACGAACGGAACATTTTGGTATATAAACGAATTGGGTCCAATCAACTTATCTTGACCTCTACTTCAAGTAGAGCAATTTTGGGACACCCTGTATATAATCTATAACTGAAATCATGTGAGGGATTTGAGCACAATTGACAATAAGAAATCACTAGATTCGAAAACTCTTGGGGAGTAGGTTTCCCGAAACGAAATAGCGATATACAAATGCTACAAGTTCTTTATTTATATTATCTACTATTTAATTGGAGAATCAAATTGAAAGGTATACACTCTGATCCGAATCTCAGAACATTGGACTATAGAAAAGTTTGAAAGTTTGATGTTTTTCTCCAATATTTATATGTTCAGAAATGGACATACAATGATTCCATTTCTGCCTTATAGAATCTCCGAGAATAGATTCACCTATTATACATAGAAAACATCGTTATATTCACATGTCTGATGTTTTGTTATATGATCTTTCAACAAAAAGAATGATATATACTTCTTTATCTAGATACAATCAAATTATCATGTCAATATCTTCCTGATTCGGATCAAACAGATTATCAAACACAAATACTACAATGTACGAACCTTTCTCAGCCCTCTAGAATTCTTCATAAAACAGTTTGAATCAGATTTGAGTAGGTATAGCAAGGAATTTCTATCGATTCAACTTGGCAACAATGCGCTACCGCTTGTTCCGAGTCTCCACGCGTCTCACACATTCTGGTATATTGACGGTCTGTCGATGTACGGTTCTGATGTTTTACGGGTCTGTCAATGTACGGTTCTGCCATTTTACGGTTCTGCTATTTCACGGGTCTTAATCAAAAAAATTCTGAAAATTTACGGGTTTGGTAGCTGCACGATTCTGCCATTGTACGAGTCTGTCATTTTACGATTCTGCTGTTTTACGGGTCTGTCGTTTTACGGTTTTGAAGAATTATGGATCGGAAATTCCGGTAGTCCGATGGATTATGAGTCTGTCGATGTACGGTTCTTGCATTTTACGGATCTAGAGTATTGGCAGTCTGTGCTTTTACGAGTCTGTCATTGTACGGATCTTTCATTTTACGGGTATCAAAAATCGACAGTTTGTCTTTTTACGGGTATGAACTTTTCGCATTCTGCCATTTTCAGATTCTGTACATCACAATTCTGCCAGTTTGCTGGTCGGGAATGTTCATTCTGATGAAATGGTGGTCTACAGAGTACGGGTAGCTGAATTACAGTCTGTGCTTTTACGGTTCTATGACTTTACGATTATATATTTTTATGATTCTGACGACATGAAGAGTATTTTATTTACTGGTTTGGCAAAGTACACTTCTGAATATATGGCAGTCTTTCGATATACTATTGTGATTTATGCATTCTGACATAATGCAGTCTGTCAAAGTACGGTTCGACAAATTACGGGTTGTACATATTGCAGTCGCTGAAATATGGTTCTGATGATTTGCTATTCTGATTTCTTACTATTCTAGTCAAATAAATTCCTACTAATCGACGGTCTGTGTCGATACGTTCTGATGATGTATATGGACCCTATTATGAATACCATTGTGGCTTCTTGTGTACTCCATAAAATTTGTATTGTCTTAGGAGATGATAATGATATTGAAGCTTATATTCATGAAGGCTTAGAAGATATAGCTCCATTAAACATAGAGAATGCTCCAAATAATGATCTCAGAGGGGCTATATTACGTGATAATTTAGTCCAGGAACTGTGGGAGGCAAGGAGATGAGGTCAATCAGAATATTATCACCACATTGATGAATATTCCTAGTTTATTTTATTGTTTCTTTTTAATGAAATTTTTTCATACTCAATATTGTTTTTTTTACCAACAAGAAATATTTTCAGAAAAATTAGTTTCACTATACCTACCAGATTGAATACCAGTGTCCTTGGGTTTCTAAAAATGTTTATATGTAATCCTCTTATAATACATGAACTTCTTAAGGAATATTTCAATATTTATTCATTAAATATGTTGAACATCAAGTTATCCCAGCCAGCAGGCTGACGTCAATTCTCGTCGAATCGACGTGGAAAATAGGTGGCAATTGGTCGTCGTCAAGATTCGACCAATAAATGACGTGATTTTGACGTGTTCCAAAAACGTATCTGATAGACGTCATTTGACGTCATTTAGACGTAAACATCTGCACCAATCATGTTGTTTCATTTCGAAGAAATTACTCCATGAACTGTATATCCAGAACTCATGATTAAACGCTTATCAAATAAAATAGGTACCTACCTACCTTAGTGAAGGATTCACGTATACCCAACATGGATAAATCTAAGTGGTGAAATATGTAGAACAAATATCGATAAAAAACACCCTGATAGAGATAACAGATACGAAAGATTCAAGAATTTATTAAAAGTATACAAATATGGTAATACCAGGTGCCTATACATGTTTTATATTGGCGCGCCACGTCAAGACATACAGATGCTTATGATTGGTCAATCCGTGCTCCGTGGCTTCGTGTGTCTTCGTTTCGTACTATGCTATCGCTACGCTACCCCTATCGGCCATCGTCGTAGCACAGTTTGTCGTAATCATGCGCATGCGTGATCAAGTTCATCAAATGTTGTAATGGCGGATTCGTGATTTTGGGTCATTAAAAAACAAGGATACTATGGAAAAGTGGGGTTCAGCAAAATATATTGCAGTTCACTGGTTATTTTATCAATTCCAGGCAGTATAGAGATGTTTGTGGGAATACAATATTCTGAGGAAAGGCATTGCTCTCGTTCAGTAGAAGTGGTTGACCCAATGACGCCTCGTAAGGCTTCGATGTGTAGTGGCCGCTTATCAAACAGCAAGACTTTTTCAACAGGTCAATAATCAAGAAAGCGAAATCTACAGATGGAACTTATTGGAAGTTGTTCGATGTAGTGAGGTCGTTATCTGAAGAAGGTAATCTATAAATACCTTAAATCGTAGGTACAAGAATAATTTGATGTTATTAGGTTGAGATTCCTTTGAAACTTGACATCTTGGTTAATGTCTACATATACTATGGAATATAGTGAATTTTATGCTTATTAGTTTTATTGAAATGAAGAATATACCTATGTATAATTATGTAAACAAATAAAAAATTTCCACAACTATTGTAACTAGATCATTTGAACTGTTTTGCCAACCATCAAGGAATAGGATCATGGAGAAGTGATTTCGAGTTTCACAGTTTCTTGGTGATGTCGAAACCTGGACCTGATGCTTGGTAACTATTCGACGTGTAGACGACGTCGCTAAATGACGTTGTAACGACGTCGCTAAATGACGTCGTTTCGATGTGACATATTGACGTCACATTTACGTCTCTTTCACGTCGATAATTTGGTGATCTTGACGTGATTGGTGACGTGTATATGACGTGAAATTGACGTGTGAATGCTAGCTGGGATCACTCATACAGAGTAAAAAGTAACCAAAGAATTAATTCCTATTCATAAATATAAATGTAACAATGTTATAGGTATTCCCTATAAAATAAACAACTTCCATTGAAAATTTTCAAAACAAATAGCTCATGAAGAATTCTGAACATGATAAACTTCAAATAAAATGAAATGAATAAAATAACCGAATAGTACTTCAATAATGGCGATAGAATCAGTCTTAAAGGAACCTGAATTATTTGCTGTCCAGACTTTCATCTTTTCTTATCAGATTCAGCACATCTGCCATGAATTTTTTATTTTCTGCATGCTGCTCTCTAGCCAATGCAATTCTTCTTTCTTCTCTTCCTGAAACCTCCTTCTTGTATTCTTGTAGCCACTTCACCATCTCAACTCTAGGTAAAATTCTTTTACAAATTCTCTTGACTTTTCGTGTGCAGTCAGTAGATATTTTTTTACCACTATTCTCAGTAGTCTCAGCAGTGAAGGTCTCATTGGTACGAGTCTGTGAAGAAGCTGGCACAGCATCTGTCAACCTTATGCTTGAACAAACTGCTCTGGCAGTGATTCCAGGCCTATCACCAAAATATTCAGCCATAGAGTCGAAAAACATCCAGTCCTTATGACTATTTCCTGACTGAGAGTTGTGATCCCTTATTTGTTTGTATTTTGCAGTGAGTGTCTTGAGTCTATTAGCACACTGATCTGCAGTGAAATAGCCCTTATTCTGTAACTCTATGGCAATGTCTTTGTAAACTTCTGTATTTTTATATTTGACATTGGTTAATCTTTCTTTGTTTTCAGAACATAGATCTAAAAACATCAATGTCTGATTGTCACTCCAAGTGTTTGGTTTCATCAATGAAGTTGTTTTGTTTGTTTCTGGCAATATCTCAGAATCATTGTTTTGTATAGTACCAAAATGATTGGACTTGCTTGTTCCAGGTTGTATGTAAGGTTGCATCATAGCCAAATGGGTTTGGATTGTTTCTGGCAATATCTCCGGATTGTTCTGTTTTGATTGGCCCATTCCAGAACAATATGAGTTTGATTTCATCACAGTAACATTTGTTTGACGTGATCCAGGGAAAGTAGTTTTCTCCAGAGATTTTACTTGGAACCCATTCCCACCATCATATATTTTCACCACTTCATAGGAATTAGCTTGAAATAAAAATTACCATATTATAACAACATGCATGCACATAGATGATTTACATACTTTCTGGATTCAACCACATATATTCTCCATTTTCAGCCTCAAACAGTGACTCCATAATTTTTTCACAGACTTTTAATACGAGGTAATAACAACTAAACAGACCTTGATGGGAATAACGGACAACGTAACCTCAATCCTCATAGTAAAGGAGCTGTACCAGTTTCCGACCAATTTGACCACTTTTCCCATGTAAATCTCCATAAGAAAAGTTAAGGTTCATTCTGCAATTTTTTGGCCACTTCAAGGTCATCCGGCTCCGACGGCGAGCAAAGCGAGAGATCCGTTCCAGAGATAACGGTGCGCATTTCATCACATTTTTCACCCAATAATGGCTATATACAGGGTGTATGAGTTGGCTAATAGTTGGGGAAAAAATATATAGAGTGAACCCAAAAGGCGTTATACCTCCTCGACGAGTAGACTACCAGCATATAGGCTACCCGCTAGCTAATGATTCAATCTAATATATAGGGTGTTTGAGTTGTATATTAGTCGATAAATATATACAGGGTGATCCGTAGTAATACTACCCCACTTTGGGGGGGGTATCAGAGGGTTGAAGAGGGTGTGGGTACTCTAAGAGAAGAATTTTTAACGGGCACTTCGAAAATAATGGTTCGTCCATATGCAAAGTCTCAAAGTTTATGAGATATCATTTGAAATGTGTGGGGAAACGTTCAGTTAGGTATGTGATGGAAATAATTGATGCTGAGGTCAGATTTCATTAGCCATGAAATATGTCCAACAACTCTTTATCAAAACTCGTTCAATAACATTATATATACAGGGTGTCTGAGTAAGCAATAGCGATAAGAAATAAGGCGACTCATGAGTAGACCACCACACTTCAGATTGGCTTAGCAAACAGATAGCTGACGTATGACGTATGTCGGATAATCGTTGACAGGATCACCGATATGTGACTATGGGGGTACACCAGAGGATTGAAATCAAACACAATGTAGAAAATTATATAATATATTCAATAATCTATACAAATAGCAGCACATTTCCCCACCACCCTCGAGGTAGTGCCTTGTGGCGCGTTGCTTCTTTTTATAGTGGGAAGCTCTCCGGTAGACCTACTTTGACCACTTGCGGCGATAAATAATTAGGTTAACAATTTTCCTCAGACAGCACGAAGATTCATTCCTAAATTAATAGAAACACTTCATTAATTCGTCTGATGTATGTTTTCGCAGACAGCACGAAGATTTATTCCTAAATTAATAGAAACACTTCATTGATTCGTCTGATGTATGTTTTCGCAGACAGCACGAAGATTAATTCCTAAATTAATAGAAACACTTCATTAATTCGTCTGATGGTTCTTTTTTGTTCGATTGCTAACCTAATCATTCATCACACATTTTACATAAAATTAATTAATTAATTATCAATTTCCATTGCTTCACCATTGATGGAATAATGGCCCCATGGTAACGCTTCATCGATTCCTGGTATAATGTATCTCTTATCATCATTTGGACTGAGAGCTATCTTGTTCTGCGTGATTGAATGGACCTGGTACTGTTTGGCTCTAATCAAGTTTTGTGATACTGTTTTCTGTTTGGCTGTTTCCAGACATTCAACATAGTCATCGAAAGTTATAGTTGTTTTAACAACAGACTTCTTTACACCTTTCGCCTTCTTCATTACACCCATATTCATGATTATATCATCGATTTCCTCCTGATCATAGTTTTCTGCATGCAATTCTGATCTTTTCTTTTCAATTTCATTTTCAGTTGTCAACACTTTGGTGGCATATAGTTTAGATCTCAAGCCCACATAGTCCGTCATTATTCGACTCTTGTTTTCATCTGACATCATTCCGAGCACTTTTTTATTGACCTGTGGTATTCCGAATTGGTTATTCATAGGATAGTCAGAGGTATCTCGATCTCGATTGGTAATCTCATAGATGAGCGAGTCAGTATCAGTGTACAGAACGGAGCAATCATGGAATGTGTGAACCATATAGTCGTAGTGAAAGTCATATAGGGTAGTCTTGGCGAGATCGAGAATGGCTTGACCGACGTATATGGGCTTATTCAGCCAGATTTCCAATTTCCCGAGCTCAACTGCTACCAAGTTCTCAT